AACTCCAATGCTTCAAAATAGTTTCTTCTCCCTCTGTCAGCTGTGACCTCTCGTCACATTATTTGGAGTTAGCACAATTCCAATCCAATACTCCTGCTGAATGGGGCAGTTCAGCTCATGAAAGTTGTCAGGAGAACTGGAACGCGGGATGAGTCATATACTTTTCAGTGCCTTTACTTTGTTCAGTCCCACACACACACACACACACACACAAACACACAGCAGGACTCTGAGCTCCTTGTCTAGACAGACATTCCAGTACAATACTGGGGACATACTGCATTATCACTAGTGACATTTGTTTGGATGATGCATTCCATCTGTTCGGATGAAAGTTAAAGGTGCCGTGACTTTATTCAGAAAGAGAAGGGAATTTCTTCAGTTATGCTATGTAAACTAGCTGTAGCCTAACCTTAACCAAAAAACAAGCTGTCGTGGTACAAATTGTTCTCAATGATAGCATTTTTTAAGGGTAACGCACAGGAATTCACAGGATGCAATATTCAGCATTTCTTTCCACCTCCCACAAAGGGCGCTTTACTTTTCAGTGTCCAGTTGGCACTATTGTACTCCTGCCTTGGTGCCAGAAGTTTTCTGGTTCAACCCCACCATGAGACCTGAGCAACTCAACTAGTCTGACATTCCAGCACAGGACTGAGGTGTTCCATTGTACCATTCCCATTGGTTCTGTAGATTCCCATTACTATTCATTCTGTAGTCATCAAAATAGCTGCAAGATTTTTTTTCCAAGTATCAAAAAGAAAAGAAGCCATGGGATTGTACGTTCATTCCGCGACATGTCGCTGTTTCACAGAACGCGAATTGCTGAAAACGGCAAATTATTTCTTTTGTGCTTTTAAAGGGCTATTTTGCTGTTATGTATTTTTTTTAAAAATCACAGCTGCAGTTTGTGTAAAAAAGCTTCCAAGTTTCCACTGAGCTCCCAACAAAACTGCAGTTTGAGCTGTGAAAGGCAAGCCTGACTGATGGTCACATTCCAAAGTCACGCTGCACTCACAGCTGGCCAAAAGCAAGCTTTTCTTGCCAAATTGAACCAAATTGTTTCTTCGCAGTCTGCACAATCTCCATTACACTGCAGAAGAATGATTAAAATATTCCAAAACAGAGCAATCAGACTGTCAGGCATCAATCTCACAAATGTTTGACAAAAATCGGAACAGAAAGTTGCCAGGAATAGGAAGAAATCTTGCTGACTGATATATATATATTTTCATAATTTAAAATACATAACCTGATTTAATGTCTCCTTCTAGTGAACAAAGAGAAACCAGGCAGTCAGATTGTTTAGAGTAGGGGTTAAAACAATGTCTTAATTTAGAAATGTCCTATCAAACAGAACAAAAGTTATTTCACAAGAGATGAAAAGAGAGATACAGATGATGAAGAAGGCCCTGCAGCTTAATTGATCTCATATTTCCAGATACCGTTCATATCGTTTCCCCATTACAGGGTCAAGTAATAATAATAATAATAATCCTTGCATTTGATATAGCACTTTTCACTTCGGGAGGACGTCCCAAAGCGCTTCACAGAACACACTGTAAAGTGAATTGACTGTATATTTGTGGACGAACGTGGCAGCCAATTGCGCACAGCAATGTCCCACAAACAATCGTAGATTGAAAATGACCAATTTATTATTGTTTTTGGTTTTGGAGGGATTATTATTAGGCGTGTGGAGTAAGGAAACTTGCCCAAGGTTTCGCCCTGCCTGGAATTGAACTCAGGTCTCTCACTTGCAAAGCGAGTGCTCTAACCACTGAGCTACAGGACTCCACAAAGTAGTTTCTTAAATGTCCAGTGGCCCATCCTCAAGTATCCTTCCTGCTAACCCTTTACTTTGGTGGACAGAAATAATAGTGCTCTCTTAACCTCTGGGCAAACATTGCAGGTTAAAGTCAAGAGTACAAAGATAATAGGCAGTAATCCCAAACTTTGCAGATGTGAAAGATGACGATTCTGCTCACTGGGACAAAAAAATGTCAGTGAGGCTTTTTACAAAAGCTATTATGTAATCAATGGTGACTCACACAGAAAGCATCTCATGCATCCATTCCTCCCATGTACATTGCCAACCACTCAACCTGGCCATCGAGCATGCTTTAACCATGAGACTGATACATAATACATTCAGATAAGGATGGATTCAAATTTATTTTTGATCACAAGGAGCCTAGCGGGAAATGATTTCCGTGTACATCTTTGCATCTATCTGAGTTCACTGCCGTACAAAAAGCACACTATTCTTCCCTTTTTTCCAAAAAAGGCATTAAAATTCCTGGTTTATAATGAATCGAATGATTAATGAACTGAAGGCCATTTACTGCAATGCTATTCTGAAACCATAAGAACGGAATTTAACCATAGGAACTCCCTTAACATTTTTCCTGTTAATCCTGTAAATTCCTGTAAATTTTAATCCAAGTAATATTTAAAGAACAGTTTAGGCACATTGATTGCGCAGTTCTCTCCAATATAAATCCAGAGCTCAATGTCTCTCTCCCACCTAACAATCTGAAGGATCATTCCACTTCCTACTCCAAAAAGATTATTATTTTAAAATTCACATTGAGTCATATTTGTACATTACCTAAGAGTGTAGATCTGTCTGAATTTCCTATTTAGCTTACTTTACCTTGATACTTTCTAATGGGTCTCGGAGGCTGAAAGCTTAATATTAAAGATGTTACTCAGTATAAATATTTTAAACTGATTTTCAGAACAGATTGGTCAAGCAAGTCAAATATAAAACAATTAACAGAAACAAGTCCCATTTTTAGAGGCATAAAGTCAATTTTCTCTCTCTCTCCACCCGCCCCCACCACAATCCATCGAAACCTGCTATATAAAAAAAATCAATGACACTTAAGAAAATAAGCAGCTCCAGTGAAACTTCAATTAAAATTAATTCTCAGATGTAAACATGAAATGGAAAGCTTGCTGAGGTGAATTCAAAGCGATGGATTTTTAGTTCTGCCCTGTGTATAACGAAACCTGGCTATATTAAGCGAATTTGTTAACCGAAGGCTATTAGTCGAACAAACTGAAAACGTCATCAAAAACATTAAATGAGTTTGTATTGTATTACCCATGATCTGTTAGCGATGCCATAGTGTGTTGAATAGTGGAGGTGTGAGGATGCATGACTATTCTAGAATCTTGCTTCATATAGTTTGAGAGTCAGGAAGCATTGAAGCTGGAAATTCGCTCAGGCGTCTAATTGGCTGTGATCTATGTACGTTGTGTATAGCCAGTGTAAGGAATGAGCCTGATGTTCTGACTGGTATGAATGTAATCCATGTTTATGCAACTGGCTCTTAAACCTAAACCGCTCTCTTTTTTCTTAAGTAGGTCTGCAATGAGACTGACTGACTGGCCACAAATCTCGTTCCCACTTCCCCCAATGCCGTAGCTCAAAATTTCCTGTCCAAGGCAGCGATGCTGTAGACCCATTTTCAGGTTGTTGCCAATTCTGTCCTATTCCGACCGCTAATCATTGTTCAAGCAGTGCACGGACCGAATTCCCTGTGATTTTCTTCCACCATCTGCTCACTATTTTCTCAGGTTAATGTGAGCCATTTGGGAAGGAACCCAAGTAATGACATTTTATAGGGCATACAATAACGTTAATCATTTGTGCACACTAAGAAATCTCAATCTTATTTTCTCAACTCCAACCCGTGCTTCAATTAGCAATTTACCTAAAAAACTCAATCAAATTTAATATCATATTTAAAAACAAGTAATGACTTAAATGGGCTTGATTGTAACATTGTAAAACTAACATCTGTTTAGTAAAACTGTACAACTAACACTGGGGCCATTCCAAAAAAATAATTGAATGCTTGGCATGCATTTAATTTTTCCTCGTGAGGGGAATTTAAACAGAACAAACACGTCAATATTTTTCACAAGAAGTCTATGCAAAGTAAAGTTGGACAGAAGTCAAATAGTGTCCAACTTACCTATCGTTGTGATGGGGGAGAAGAGAACGTACACACACCAATATTTAATGGATATTTACTGCTGACAGGTCTGATCAATCCAAATCTATGTAAACTAGAATGATAAAAACTGATATACTCATTGTGAGTTTCATTTGTCTATTACAAGCTGTCCAAATGTATCCAGATCAATCTGAATTTACCAAGGAATTTGATGCAGTAGCTTTTCGAATCAAAATATCTCAGCAATGAGACAACCAGCACTGTCGCATGATAATTAATTAATTTTCTGGGGAATACGAGGGCAGACTATGTGGCCAGAACACTGGGAGTACGACACATATAAGAATGCTGGCATTACCAGGAAGGGCAGGGCACTAATACTTCTATACGCACCCGAATAATACCATTGTCCCGATCTGAACAGGAGTCATCCTAGAAGAATAATTACCGTCTTGTTACCAGAATCCTCTTGTGAGGAGAGAATCAAGGACACCTGTGGAGGTTTAAAATGGCCCAGCTTCACCGTGAGGTAGAGTGGTTTACAAGCAGAGTGCCCCAGGCTAAATTACAATGACCCTTTGTTAAACATGTCTCTTATCCTGCTGTTATACGATCCAAGAACACTGGAAGGCAACAAAAATTCTACCCTTCAACAGATGTCAAGACCTCCAGGATTCGATTTAAGGCAGAACTTATGGCACACTCCAGATGCTTTCTCTCTGGCCACTGTAGACTGGAAGCAGCTGTGATGTTGTATAGACTCAGGTCTGTTCTACGATACAGTTGTGATATCAGGTACAGATATGCTGGCACGTAACAAAGGGATGCCCTATTTCTCTCTCAAGTGGTATAAGGAAAAAGTATATAAGGCAAGTAAAGTAGACATGAGATGGTTAAAAATCAGTAACCTTGTGAATGAATCATACTCAGAAAGCTGCAGTATTCTCCTGATCTGCAATTAAAACCCAGGACATTCAAGTTGATGGCAAAATATTTGTAAAAATCGTATTTACAGGTGGAAGCTCTGTATACCTTTTTGAAAAGTCGTGTTGAATCCTCACTGATCTGCATGAAACGCATGATAACATTGTTCAGGTAGATGTCGCTCAAAGTTGCATGGTCTTTACTCTCTCTTCTGACCTGGTTTAGTAGCAGGTACCAGCAGTTAACTGGCGATAGAAGATTCTGGTCTTTCCTGGAATAAAATAAAAACACTTCTCAGAAAAAGTTGCACCAAGCACACTGTAGAAGTTATTTAAAACTGCACCATCATGTATAAATCATTCATATTTATTAATTATTTATAGCCTCCACAGCAGCCCTGAAATCAGCAGCCTAGTGAGCAACAAAAATTCAACCTGTGCTCGTGCCACTTGCTGGAGTGCAGCTGTGCCATTCTTAATGATGATCTCCAGGATATCACCACATTTTATTAGGATGGAAGCAGTTGCCATAACAGAATAAGGGTTATGTTGCCCCAAGGGTCACCTTGCCTAAAACACCTTGACAGTACCTCATTATCCATGGAAGAAAACCTCTCTAATTAAGTTTTATATATACATATATATAGCAACAGTCAACTGATGTTTGCATATTCCACGAGACCCTTCAATATTCTGTTCATTCTTACATCTTAATGTGTTATTGCTGTTCTCTATTTCCAATATTTATTTTAAATTTTGACAACAACAATAGATTATTTGTATAATGCTTTTCACATTGGGAAGACGTCCCAAGGCGCTGGACAGTCAGGGGTTTGGACCCGAGCTGGGGGTTGGGATCTGAAGGGGTGGAGGGCAGAGAGGGTAGGGGTAGGAAGATGACCGAAGGCATGGTTGAAGAAGAGGATCTTGAGATAGGCCTTGAAGGTGGCAAGGGAAGAAGCGAAGTGAAGGGACTGTGCGATCAAGTTCCAAAGAATAGGGGCAGAGAGGCTAAAGGCCCGCCCGCTCATGGTTCTGTGCACGTTATTTGAAGCAGCTTTGTTTACTATGTCACTATACTTTACAATACAATCCTGTGAAGCACTGAGAGATGTTTCAATGAGACGTGGAGGTGTGTTATACATCATGCAAAGATGATTTACTTCAACCCGTTGAGAGTTCAATCTGATAACAGGAATCTCATTTGGATTTTGATAAAAACACAAACCTTAATTTCTTCTGAATTTATTAAAATATTCTCTCTGTGCTTCTCTACTGTTTATACGGAAAGTCGTAGTTTAGTGCCCCCTTCGTCTCCAATCAAGATCCCAAATTTCTCTTACGTTTATTATTTATAAAATATAACTAACTTCGGCAAACAAAAAGCTTCGATTCGGGATCTACCTCCCACACATTCTGTGAATAAATACATGTCTTTGTATTTATTGTATCCTCTCCCATGGAACACACTGACTGGCCTTTAGGGAACTACAATTCTGAACAACCTTACCCTTTTCAAATCACGTCAATCACTTTAGATGTGGGTTCTGAGCAGTGAATTCTTTGTCGATCACAACAACCAACTTATCTCGTTGAAGAATTCTACCAGCCATTCACAACAGCCAATTTACAATGATTTAAGCATAATAGGCTATGTGGGTGGTTGCCTAAAACTGAGGACCATTAAGGTCAATGTTATTCAGAACATTTTTCATAGGGTGGGGGAAGGGTATTATTTTGTCCATAAAAAATGAAAAATTCTGATCAATTGAAAAAATAGGATATTTATTGATGTCAGTAAAAAATTAACGATCCTTTACCCATGACATGTCAGTTCAGCCATCATTCACCGTTCTGGTGGTAATTGAAAACAGGTGGATCTTCAATAATATGAATCACATATTGCCTAAGAGACTGATCACATTGACATACAGCCACACACCTTCAGTGCCATTCATTTCCTAACCTATTATAGTATAGGGTTAATATCATTTATTGAATTGAAGCAAATCTGTTGAAGGCTTTGTGATACGACTGTTTTGCATCAGGCATTGAGACCTTAATGAAGAAATCACAATTTCTGTACTTGTTTAATTTGGTCAGATCCAACGATCTAATAAGGACATATATTCAAAATATCCCTCAACATACATCCTCTGTTGGTGAATTCCAAGTATTGGCACAGGCATTTCTATGTATGTAAGATTGCTGTATACAGTAAGAATGAAATGTCTTCTACAACTGTGATTACACAACAGCAATTTACCACACAAGCTCCTCGAATAGTTGTTTTCAATTCTAGAATCATGAAGAGAATTAAGGTCGAATTCAGCCTATATTCTACCCTTTATTCTGTGTGATAGCATATGATGGATGAAAAGGCCAAGTTATTATAACTCAGAAAAGGATTAGCTGACCAGTAAAGCACAGCTCTTAATGAAACCTTCTGCACCTGGTTCCTGCAAATTCTATTTAAGATGGGATATATTGTGGAATGATGAATTCTTTTTTCTGTCCATTTAATCTCTAGCAGGTGTTTTACGTCATAAATCCTTCACGTGTCAGAAAACAAAATTATATCTTTTGTTCCTTTCTTTAACTGAGTGAGGGTTAAAGTAAAGGCGGTAACTTGGAGTGGCAGATCAACACCACATGGGAATTGCACAGTTATCTGCTTCGCTCCAAATGCATCATTCCTATTAAAGAGAATCTGTAATCCATATTGTCGGGCCAATTCCTTGTTAGCCTTTATCTAACAAGTATTCCCATGATTTGATTCTGACCAGAGTCAAAAATTGGGAACCAAAAAGAGAATTATGCTTGTTTTATTCCTTTTGGCGGATTTTATGTTATCAGCAAAAATAAGTGCTGAGCCACTGCTGTGGAAAGCATGAACTTAGCTGTTCAACGTCACTTTCTTTTGTTTACTGATTCATTTACTTTAATTAAAACAAAGCTGCTGCACAGCATTGATCCATGGCTCAACCTCTTCTCAGTGGAAAAAAAAGTCATTAGTCATTTGTGGAAAATACTAATCTTGTGGAAAAGACAAAAAAGATTGACAGGCGACAAACAGATTGATTCATGTCTTTAAAATCTTGAAAGGTATGGATATTGATTAAGGCCAGGTAGCCAGCCTTATTTAACTTAAATTGTAATTGCAAAATTAGAGGGCATGAGATGGAACTGAAGATGTATCAAGTGAGGCTCGAGATTAACTGAAACATTTTTTACCCCCCACAGAATGGCAAGTGTCATATCAATCAGCTACTTTGATAAAACAGCTGGTTAAGAGCAGGACTGGAGCTTACTTAAACAGAGACTTTGATGATAAAAAGACATCTGAAAGAAAATTATTCCCATCCTGATGGAATCATGTAACGCTTACCCAACTGGTGTTAAATATTTCCACCTGCGTCTGAGAAATGTACAGTTTCTCCGATGCCCCTTCTGTGCTGAACTAAAAGTTGTCCGCACAGCAGTTCACCTCGGAATGAATGGCGTGAAAGGAAATCTTTTTAATTCAGACACTAAGCAGCAAAATGGTATTGTCCAGGATTCCACTGACTGCTGCTATGTATGGCAGAGCGTAGGGCTTACTATCCAAAGAAGCCCAGTCAGAACTAGTGAGCCTTGCTGAAATATTGCTTTACTGATCTAATGAATGCTCTTTGTTCTGCCCTTAACAGAGCAGCAGCGGTAAGAAGTATATACCCAGCAGCAAGTAGCCAAGTGGAATCAGAGAAGGAGGCTTAGCACTCAGTGCACCAGCCTGGCCCTAACGGACCCAGATCTAATCACATTCCTTTCTGAAAGGCAGGTAGCCAGCCCACTACAACAAATGAATGAGGTACTACTTGTCCTATTAATCCTGCCATCACAGAACATGACTTATCTTTGAAACATGTCCTCTGGACAATCTAAGATCCACAGTATAACAAGTCACCGTTTATGAGCAACGATGGGTTGCACACAGTGGTACCATAATAAGTGTTTCCAACAGGGTCAAGAAAAAGTCATTGTTTATTATAACAGAAGACTTGTAAACATGTGAGTCACACTTCAGTGCAAAGCTGAAATGCAATCAATCACAAACTTTGTGTTCAGCCATATTTTACATCTTCTTCTGGTCAGCCAATAGAAATCAGGAAATGAAGGTGATGGAATAGTTGCAAACATGCATAGTTCTCAGTAATATGACAAGCCATCACTTTCAAGATATTTAATTGAATTAAACCAAAGTTATTTACAAGTCGGGGTAATATTTCCTACCTGTGAACAAATCAGCCTTACATTTAGGCACTGATGCCAATCAAAGGTGGTACTTAAATTAATTCCAGCGTTGCCAAGCAGCTGGCACAATGTCCTATAATTCTAATAAGCATTCACTTTATAATATTGGTAAGTGTTAATCATAGTTTGAATAACTCTTAGCTTTGGGTCATTCATTTCTTGCCTTTTTTTAAGGTCATAGTTCATTAAAAAATTTGTTGCTGCGCTTGTGAAACGATTTGCTGCACTTCAAAGAACCTAATTACGTGAAGAACTTTAAGGCATTTCAATCAGATGCTAGCAACTATTATTATTCATTATTACAAAATCCCACATTTACTGAGCACTCTTAAAGTCACATCTCTGTGGAAGCACGGGTACATACACGTTGTGCAATTCAATACATTACAGACCTATAGGAAGGAACATCAAGGTTTGAAGGAAGCTGAAACACTCTGTGTGTGTAACCTGGCCAGCACGTCTGAGGTTCGTTAAGCAATGTCGCCTCAGGAATCATGACTTATGCTGGCGGGAATGTGCATCACTCCCTTTGTCCCACGCCAGGGAGTAGACAACCAGCTTCCCTGTCTTTGCCAAAGTTCTTCTTTACCAGATCGCAATAAGCAATTAACTTAATCACTATATGTGGTAACTGGCCAAGGAATGTATGGAGGATTTGGGGTAAACTGAGGTATGGTAATAGTTTATTTAAGCACAGTAGCAACCATTTATGCTGTTACAATCCACAAACAGCAATGAGATGAGAGACCAATTCATCTTGAGGTTAGTTGACCAGGACATTGGGAGAAACTCTCTTCTCAAATAATGTCATAGGAATTTTTTAACATTCACATGAAGAACAGGTAAAGGAGACCTTAGTTTAAAGACTCACCAGAAAAAACTCAAAGCAGCAATCCTCCAATACTCCATTGGAGAGTTAACCTGGAATGTGAACTCAAGTACCAATAGAGGGGCTTGAATGATCCAGAGGCAGAATGCTAGCAATTGAGGCAAACGGTCACTTAAATCAGTCCTTTGCTATATTAGGCTTGAATTAATCTCTTAAATTACATATCTGTGTATCACAGTAACAGAAACCCCAATTACACAGTATCTTTTTTATACACTTGCCCAAACATTTACTGTGACTTCATTTGAAGAAGCATTAGGTTTCCAAATACTGTAGTTGTTCCGCTTCAATGGACAAAGTTCTCCTACCTCCATTTATATATAGTGACTGCCCTGGAATAAAGCTTGTGCTTCTACAGAATTATTCAAAAATGATCCACCATTTTTTTTTGTCAGCCAGGTGTCTGACACATGCGGAAACCCATCACCATGCTTGAGAATATCCACACTAAGCTGAGATTTTCATGCATTGCACCAACACATAGAAATCCCAGAGATAGATTGTTGGAATGGAATGCACACTCTCTCCCTGGAGGGACACATCCTGCTTACCTAATTCCAGAAAGTATTAGCCGCAGTTTGGCAAGAGCCAAGGCTTGAGAACCCAAGAGTGTGAACTGGGGTACTGCTGGAGTCTAACCAGCTAAAACGGCAAAGCTTGCCATTGATATTGCTGTCTGGCAAGCTTTCCCGCTGCTTGTCCAGCTAGGACCACCCTGGCTTGCAGGGTTAACAGGAGCTGACTCCCTGCCCCCAGTGACTGGTCTGTTCTTCCAGGTCCTGCTGATGAGCCAGGCTGGCTGCGCTGTGATCGGCAGTGCCCTGGAATACTGCGGACCTGCCTGGCTCAGGAACCGGACTACCAAGACTGCCACAAAGGGCTGGCTCAATTCCAATATTTTGTTGCCAGGCATGTCACCTTGGAGCCAGTTTAGCTGCAGTTTAAGTAGACCCCTCCAAATGGTGATTTGTCCACCTTTCACGTTGAGAGGACATCTGAATTTGGTTCACAGGATTAACAATAAAGTGTAGTAACCATGTACCTTGCAGGGAAACACAGCAGCCAATTTACATACACTAATGACCCACAGGCAACCATAAGGTGAATGAATGCTTAATTTTATTTGAGGGATTGTGGGCCAGGATACTGGGAGAAACTCCCTTCTCATTCTGAGAAGTGCCATGACACCTGAATAAGTAGATGGGACCCCAGTTAAAAGTTTCATCCGAAGAATGGTACCTCCAACAATGCAGCATTCCCCAGCACTGCACTGGAGGCATCTGGACTTATGAGTTCAAACTCTCAATGTGGAGTTTGAACCCACAATCTCTGATTCAGAGGCAAGCGACCTACCAACTGAGCTGGACTGAAACACAGGTTTTGGCAGGGTTTGAAAATCAAACTAGAAATGGCTATAATCCCATGCCTTTCAACTACAGCAAAGCCCAACTTTCTGATCAGGAACTCATCCAAGCCACTTAATCTCTTAACAGTGCTTTGAAATTCTAGGACATTTCTTCCAAAACTCATGAATAATAAGTGGAAATTTTGAGGGCATTATTCTAACTGTACAAATCTCCCGCAGACACTATGAGGTCACTCTTCTGAGGTTAGAGTGAAGGCACATACCAAGCTGTAACTGACAAGAGAAAGGTTGCCACTTGGATATTGATTGCCCAATACTAACATGTCTCACACTTGAGAAGTCAAAAGAAAATGATAAAAACTGAGGAAAAATTGCAATAACTTTCCACCCTCTTGGGTTCTTGGGCTATTTGTTCCCACATTGAATTCAGAGATTGGTGTTTTGCTCTCTGGACTATTAGAACATAAGAATTTGCTCGGCGAAAGAAGAACAAGGTCCATTTAGTTTGCTTTCCACCATCCTGTCAGTTGCTTGACATGTTGTGTCCTAAACCATATACTTTTTTTCTACTTTCTAGTTCTCAGAAGTGACAATTTGGATTTTTCCAAATCTCACAAATTGTATATTTTTCGACATTCAGAAAATACAAGTTGGAACTGAAAATTAACCTTTCAGATCTAGTTTGTGAAAACCAGCATATGGATCCCAATATTAGGCTATGATTAGATATGGTTTTCTCATTCTACTCTAATAATATTCCATAGTTACAGCAAACACATTCTGCAAGATGTTTCATGCACATAGATGAAAAGTTGCAAAATGAAGATAAAACTTTAGTTGTTGTTTTAAGACAGCAGATGGTATTGACCAAAATCCAGTAAACTAGATCAAGATGGCTGCTCTTTTATGTTATACTGCAATGGGATTAATTCCATAATCTCTACATCACATTTGCTGACCACAAACTGATCTGCTTTTAACCATATTGCTTCATGGTGAATTGCACACAGTTTGCCACATTTTTTAAACAAATGTTAATTGTTTTCATTGAGTTCAAGGAAAACATCAGGAACCACAGGACATCCAGTTTAACAAAACAAACCAGTGTACTACATCTTAACCCCACAAAATTACCCTTTGTTATTTGATAGTTGAATGCTCCAAAAAAAAATACAAATACTTATTCCAATGTAAGTCCTAATTAAGGACTACCTTAGAATGTTATGTGAATATTCTGTATTACACAATGCGAGAACTAACGTAGCACTTAAATCAAACCAGTTTGGTTGAAATTCCACATTACAGATTAAAAAGCTGACCTGCTGCTAGGATTCTGTAAATTAACTAAACAAAAAGCGCAAGCGTCTGGATGTCAAAGGAATTCTTACTTGTACTGTTGATGGTCTTTTGTGCTGCGAGTTTTTGCCATGAATCTCTCAGCCAGCTTCTCCAGGTTGCGGGAATATTCCATTTCGATTTCCGACTTCTTGCGGAAGAAATCCTGGAGATCCTGGAGAAGCTGAACCCGCATCTCAGTCTGCTGCTCCAGACATTTTAGCTGCTCAACTAATTGAACACGGATTTCTGCAAGAAACACATTCACAAAATTAGTGTTATATTACTATTATTATCTGTAATTGTTTAAGGCATGGGTAAAGCAGTTTTGGACTTCAATGAATCATTTTCTAAAGGTATTGCACAAAGTAAACACCTAAATATTTCAATCCTTTACAAAGTTTGAGGGCGAAATGCAAAGCATTAAATTCCGAAATGCAAACAAAGCCCACTTCTGAGGCTTTGAGAAAATCACAGCAAAAGTTCTGGTGTGCAATGCCGCGGGTGAGAATAATGTGCTCAACCGATCACCTAAAAAAATACACGCAGAACAAAACTTTTTTTTAAAAATATGAATGCTTTTAGATCATCTATTTTTAAATGAAGAATACTTATAATGTTATGAGTTCAGGCTCTACTTGCAACATGCAAGTATCTTTTCACCACAGAATTAAAAAATAATATTGTGTGGATTCCCATCAGTGAATATTTCCAGTACATCTCCTGATCAATTATTTACCGATCAGGAACATTATACAGCTTATTAAACATTTAATAGCTTGGCACAAATTATCACAAAAAAACGATTGGAAGCATTAATACCTTTAAGCCTTCCTGTAAAGTGTTTTATACTTTTCATTATCCCTTCTACCCGCGTTGATCCTATCCCACAAATATGTAACACTAATTTTGATTCCAGCAAATCCTGTATGGTTTGATGAATGAACACCCAAGACCAGTTGAGCTATATAATATAAAAGAGCACGCCTAAAATTATTGGTTGAAGTCCGTCACGTGAATAATTACACACGCTGGAGCTGATGTGAAAAAAAACTGTTAACTATCCGTTTCTCAGTGTATTTAATACAAAGACCTCGTTTACCACAACTATTTCAAACAGGAAAAAAAGGAAAAACAGAAAGCGACCTTGACAGGGATTTTAACTGGAGAATAAACTTTGAATGCTAAATACCGCAGAAGGAGAAAAATGGGAGCAATGGTCTTAAAAGTGTCTGTGAACTGCTGATACAGCAAGCCTGTAATTTGCAATAGAGGCATTCAGGGGATATAAACGTTGAGCACAGTAGGTTGTTTACAATGCATGCTGGGCTGTTGCTTTTACTGAGTCCTCAAATGTGAATTTAAGGCAATTTTAGCACAATTTACATCTGTCCCAGTTGCAATACATCTGCACTTCAGAATCAACAGGAGTATTTGTTTCAAAGAGATCATTTTCAGGATATGAAACAGATTATTTTGTGTTTCACAGAAAATAATGCTCCCTTTCTGCAGTTCATCATGTACATGCAATGTACAGTTCATTTCTAAAATGGGTAATACTGTTACAGGCTGCAGGCTTACAAGACAATGTAATGCAGTCGGCCAGCTTCCAGGAACAGAGAACAACAACAACAACATTACATTTGTTTAGTGCCTTTCATGTCGGAAGGACATCCCAAGGCGCTGGGAAAAGAAAACAAAAGAAAGCAATAGGTCTTTACTTTAATGACTTGTAACTACTTTTTCACGTGTTTTCAGTCAACTATTTTGGTCTCATAAGTTAAATGGAGCATTATTCTATGAAAACGCCAGTTATTTTAAAGGAGCCATTCAACTTGAAATGCCTTTACCAACAATCAAGCCTACTGTTTTTCATATTTGCAGCCATTCAGATAAATGTCAGGGTTTTTTTTTCGCTGAGTGCTGACACAGTGAACAATTAACAAAAGGCTGCAAAACAAAACCGTTTGCATTTAGTAGGACTTCACGAGGCAAAGCAAATGCAAATGTCATGCTGTTGGCTGAGCAAGTGTGGCACCACTTTTCTCTGTTAGTATTCAGCATATCAAAATAAGTGGATCAGCAAGATATGCTGACCAGAGTGTCTGGAACAATTGCAAAGAGCCAATAATCACAGCAAATGTTCAGCCCATCATTAACGCTTAAACAATCCCAACCTTAGTAATCTTTCCCGGCAACCCAGGAAATTTCAGTTCAACTCTTAACTCAATTAGGGCAGAGAACATGGCTGACACTGCATAGAAAAAATATTGGAAAGTTGGATTTAGACCTATGCAAGCATTGGAGATCTCAAATTCTTCAGAAGACTGTGAAACCATAAACACTGGTAGAAAATACTGTTCATTCAGCAGAGTGAACCCAATACATTATATATCCTCTCTAAATTAACAAATGTTGCCACAGCGTTATGAAGTTATGAAAAAAAATACCCTTTTGGCAACGATAAGAGAGAAAAAAAATAGCTCCTCCGCTATGTAAAGTAAGATTTCACTATAACTAGCAATGAAATGTGATATCACAGCACCAGTACAACAGAAGTAATATGATTCAATAGCAGAAGCCTGACATGTCACCAATGGCATCACTAGGCGTATTTAGCAAACTCACTACAGTCCAACAATATACTCAAGACAATAATTTGCTTCTTTGCAAAGTGCACGACCCAGCAGAAAATCCTATCACCAGACAATCACAGTTTGGGAGGGAATAGTCTATAAACTCTATTGCAGACTTCCTTTTACAGTTGATGTTGACATACTGTAAGGAGTTCACAGGCCAACAAATACATTTTTTGAAAGCTCAGTGACAATACACCTGTTCTGAGACCTTCTGTCAGCACACAGAAAAATGCTGAACATTGAACAAAACTGGAAATAGATAGTAGTCAGAGATATTTCAAGCACACAAACATCTGAGGGCTTCGATGACAATGACGAGCCTCTTGAGGTTTGCTTTTTGTTTATTAAGTTATGTCAATCCACAATACGTTACTGTCTTGCATCACACACTAGTCTATCCATTGCAATATCCTAGGTGTAGTTTATCACAGACTGTTTTTGAATTGTCAGTTCCCAAGCCTAGGGTTCCGTAACTACTGCAGTTGCATTATGAGCGAGAAGAAAATGAATAAAGTCTACCCATCCAAGATAGTAAAACCCCAAAATACATTTCTATAGCATCCTCAAAAAATCTACCAATTAACTGGCTCAATGGCCAGCATTCCACAATGGGTCTACCATGGGCAGACAACTGCTTTTTTATTGTCAATGTCAAAAATCCCAAATGTCTATTGTGTTTATGCTGCAGGGACAATGGTTACAGTACTTAAAACAGCGGTGGGAACACACAAAAAACATGCTGTGCCATCTTCAAAAGCATGTTCCTCTGTGCTCAATGATCTAGAAAGATCCTTTTAAAAAAANGGATTTCTACAAGCAGACCTCATCATCTGTAAACCTGATAATGTTGATTATGTTTCACTAACAATGTAAAAGGAATAAAATAATGCTTCATTGTGTACCTTTAGCTCTTCCTGAAACCTTACAGCTCTATCCAATGCTGCAATATTGCTCAGTTTCATGAACACAAATAGGCATTTCTTGTCTCAGAAAAAGGCTGTTTGTCAGTTCTTGCCTAAAAATTTCAAGGGATTGGGGCGGGGGGGGGGGGAAAGAGATAATGCCCTTTTCAATTTCCTTTCTCATATAATGCAGAATTGAAAAACAGGAAGTGTTCACCTTCTAAAAATATATTGACTGCGGTTTCACGTAATCCCATTCACCGTCCAAATCTCAAATTTATGCAGTGACTGACTGACGAGCTTTATTGCAATGCAGAAATGTTCAAATAACTGCAATACAATAACTGAATAAGGCCACATCGATTCTAAATCCCTAACATTGTAAAATAAGCAATAATACTGAGGCTAGTATTACCATCACAACAGTGTTTAGTGTCATGTTTATTGTGCGTTGCCATTCTTTTAAAGATAGATGAAAAGGCATTAAGTGGCATTGTTAGTGTAATGTATACACATACAGACAAACATGTACAGTATTTAACAATGATATTCTTTTAAAAACAGAACATGGAAGGATGATGCACATTCATCAGATGGATTTGGTGAAAAATAAGACTGGTGTAGACTGAAGTCAGCAGATTCCATCTACTTCCATCACTTGTTTTCCAGGATAGGTAAAATGACAAAATGTTAGAATCCAAGTAAAATAAAATAGTCAGAAAGCAGGTCTGTGTGTGTGGTGTGTGTGGAGGGAGTTGGGGATTGAGGCTGTATCTGTGTGCAACAAAAAATGACTGTAAATTAATCTAGAAATGTGATTGAATGGATGAAGCTCAGCATGTTTGTATTGGCAGGAAACCAGACCAGAGAGCTAGGTCAGCAAGGGAGGGAGCATGTGTCCACAGGATGTTCTCTACTGCTTCAATTGTAGGAAGTGTATATTATGTTAGTCAGAGCCAGCTTTGGTGCTGAGACGTAACCCCTTCAATACCCTTGGTTAATCCTTAATTTCTCCGTGGTGAACAAGGCTATATTCAAAATTGGAAAAGACTGCTCCAGTCCAGCTGAAGTGTCTCATACTTAGAAAAAGTTCAAAATATCACCGTACTGCAATACTTGCTGTCTCTCTTACCTCTCTATGATTCTTTCAAAAAAGAAAATAATAAGATTAAATCGATCACTTCAATCCACGACTGTTTGTGGGACACTGCTGTGCGCAATTGGCTACCATGTTTCGCTTCTGTAGTCTCTCTCTCTCTCTCTCTCTCTCTTCATAACTCGGGCGTCCAATTCTAGTCATTCATCCAGTTATCATTTGCTATACCCCCTCCAATGCTAAATAGAATTTGTGGATATCAAAGCAAAAGGCCAAACATGAAACGTTAGTTTGGCTGATTTGATAACACTCTTGTCTCCGACTCAGAAGGTTGTGGGCTCAAGCCCCATGTCGGGACTTGAAACTCATATAAGCAACACTGACCCACTCCAATACGGTGCTGGGGTTGTGCTGCAGTGTTGGAGGTTCCGTCCTTTGGATGAGACGGTAACCAAGGTCCTGTCTCCCTGTTCAGGTGGACATGAAAGATCCCACGCCACTGTTCAAAACGAGAAGGGAGTTCATCCTGCTGGCCTGGCCAACAATTCCAAATAAAATCAATCATTCACTCCATTGCTATTTATGGGATAGGTCAAAAGATGCCACCTGAAT